CGGTCCCAGCAATGGGTTGTGTTTGGCCACGTAAAAATCCCTTCCAGTGAAGAAGCGAAGTAAAGCCTCGGATGGGTCCACCCCTCCCCTTTTGATGACGATCACGGAAAACGTTTAAAGGACGCCGATTTGCGGGAATGCACCTGGAATGTCCGGACCCTTAATGGGGAAGGTGCCTCTGCCCGGCTGGTTGATGTCCTCGTAAGGACAAAAGCTGACATCACCGCCATCCAAGAAATGCGTTGGACGGGGCAAGGCAAGCAATGTCTGGGGCCTTGCGACGTCTACTACAGCTGCCCTGTAAAAGAGCGCAAATTTAGAGTTGGATTTGTGGTGGGAGAGAGACTCCGTCGCCGAGTACTGTCGTTCACCCTGGTGGACGAGCGTCTAGCCACAATCCGCATCAAAGCGAGATTCTTCAACATCTCGCTCATCTGCGCCCATGCCCCGACGGAAGAGAAGTATGAGGCATCCAAGGATCTCTTCTATGAGCGCTTGGAGCGCACGTACGAACGCTGCCCCCGTCATGATATAAAAATCGTGCTTGGCGATTAAGTGCCAGGGTGGGCAAGGAAGGGATCTTTGGAACCACCGCCGGAAAATTTAGCCTCCAAAACGAAACGTCCGACAACGGATTGAGGCTGGTTGACTTCGCAGGGGCCGAAACATAGTAGTATGCAGTACTAGGTTCAAGCATATAGTGGTAGTGAAAATCTCGATTTAGTGCAGCGTGTCCAACCCTGTTCACAATACACCAAATCTTGGAAAAGACCGCGAGAAAGTGATCGACACTCACCACCAATTTGTCGACTTTAAAGCCGCTTTCGAGAGCACTAAAAGGAGTTGCCTATACGCCGCTATGACTGAATTTCGAATCCCGCCAAAACTGATACGGCTGTGTAAAATGACGTTGACCAATACCACCAGCTCCGGTAGAATTGCGAAAGACCTCTCCGAGCCGTTCGCCACCAAACGGTGTTTCGGTCAGGGTGAATCCCTTTCATGTGACTTCTTTAATCTGATGTTGGAGAAGATAATAAGAGCTGCAGAACTGAACCGCTCAGGAACAATTTACTACAAGAGCGTGCAATTGCTTGCTTATGCTGATGACATCGACACCATCGGTAAAAAAAACGCGAAGTCTGTTCTGCCTTTTCCAAGTTGGATGAGGAAGCAAACCGAATGGGGCTGGTGGTAAACGAGAACAAGACGAAGTAACTCCTGCCATCAAACAAACTGTCAGCACATTCGCGCCTTGGCACCCAAGTCACTGTTGACAGTCATAATTTCGAAAAAGTAGAGAATTTTGTTTACTTGGGAACCAGCATTAACACCGATAATAATGTTAGCATGGAAATCCAACGTAGAATTACTCTTGCCAACAAGTGCTACTTTGGACTGGTAGGCAATTCAGGAGTAAAGCCCTTTCTCGACATACGAAAACCACACTCTCTAAGTCACTCAACATGCCCGTGCTGGTATATGACGCAGAAGCATGGACAATGACATCATTCCATGAGGCGGCTCTTGTACACACAAAGAAAAAGAGAGGTAAATCTAGCCGAAAAAGACGATTAAAATTGCAGTGACCGAAAAAAATTGTAAATCAAACCGACAAAAAATTGTTATTATGAAAGTTCGTAAAAATAGTTCGGATACCATTAAAAATAGTTAGCTTACCATCGAAAATAGTTCGTGTACCACGAAAATAGTTCGTGTACCACAAAAAATTGTTTTTTAACCATGAAAAATAGTTCGTGTACCACGAAAAATTGTTTTTTTACCATTAAAAATAGTTACTTTACCATGAAAATAGTTTTATTACCATGAAAAATAGTTAGTTTACTATGGAAAATAGTTTTTGTACTATAAAAATGGTAAAACTACTATTTTTTTACCTCCAAAAGTTGTCCACTTACCATTTGAATAGTTACTTTGCTAAAATAAAAAGAAGTGATTAAAAAAACATTGATTTTAAATAAATTTATTATTATTTATTACTTTTAATTTAATAAGTACATATTTTTATGTGTTTTACTATTGTAAATTAAGACAAAGATATAAATATATATAAAATTTATACATGTATAGTTTCAAAAAAACTTTGGACGAATATACGTAATTCCATTAGAGGAAAGAGTTGTATTAAGAGGTGAATAATATAATTCAGAAAAGTCCAATAAATAAAATTGGTCTGTACTTTTTATAATTGGAAATGACTGAAAATGGTCTGAAAACATTGCAATTGTGTGTTCAACACATACGAAAATTACTTTGTTGTTTTCAAGTACAATAATGTCTTTGATTTCAAATAATTTCAAAGATTTGGCATCAGGAAATATCCAATTTTATAAGTAGTACCTTTTATTTCCACTTTTGTTATGAAATTGTAGCTTTCATTTATTAATATTTCGCATTCAAAAGAACTTATATTTACTTTTTTACTGTAATATCTGTTTTTAAATTTTTCTTAGATTGGTTTTCGAAAAATAAGTTTCTATCTAATCCTTTATTCAAAAGTAACCGATTTGAAAACTTTATCATACATTTAACAGCGATTGACAAAGGTGCATTCCTTCTAGAGGTAATACAATTGGTATACGATTTAATCTCTCTATGCTTGGACTCGAACCTAAAACACCATACATGCTTAAGAGGTCCTACATTTTTTATGATTGTAGCGTAATGAAGTAGAAAGTGAAATTTCGGTTTTAACGTCGGGCCAAATAGTTGTACGTAAATCGTGTGATGGTTCTTAATTTTTAACTTTAATTTATTAAGGGACTCATCGTCGAACTCTGTTTTTAAAATCTCGTCTATAATTTCAATTAATGTACAAAAAAGTTTCCAATGTTTATTGTGTAGTGGTATTAAATCCCCAATTATTATTGGAAGAAAATGGCAAAATGTCCACATTTCTCGTGCTGACATATTAAGTTTTTGACATTTCAAATGTGATATTTGAATTTCTGGAGATCTATTACTTAACTCAATTTCACCGTATTGAAATTGATTTTTTCGATCATTTAAAATTTCAATTGTAAACAATTTTTCGGATTCAATAAAATGGAGTAATATTTTCGAAACGTCATATCGGCAAACACCTTCAAAAATATCATGCATAATATCCCCGGTAAGATTATTTACCACATGAAATGAATTAATGTCATTGAAAATGGAATTCTCAGATATACCAGTTAACTTTATTCGCTTCTCTGGTATATCTTCTGTAGCAAGGTTTTCTGTATAGTTTAACTCATTCCGAAGTTTGCTCTCTATTTCCTCGACCATGTACGAAGTTTCTTCTTTATTGCATAAACAATATCGACAAAAGTAATTAGATGAAAAGCTTTTAGTGTAGCCGAGAATACTATTTAAACCTAAGTTATCACCCACAACTAGTGCTAGTACAAAATAAATTTTTTTGGTTGTATTATCAAAGCTAATGTCAATTCCCTCTTCTTCAAGACTTTTAATTTTTTCTACCAGTAATTTCAATGATGCGTCATTTCCAAACTGTTTATGTTTACTTCTGAAGAAAAGAGCAGGGAATATATTTTCTAGTCGCGATTGGTAGTGCTGCGGCAAAGTAGGGAAACTGTAATAAAAAGCAGCTATTGATTGTGTCCCTCTGTGGGAACCCAAAGGATTATTAATTTCAAAATCGTCAAAATAAATAACGTAAGGAATTGCTGTTTTATCGCTGAATAAACTCATTTTAGATTTCCATAATTTTCCATTAACAATGTTTTTTAATTCATTATCATTTGCAAGGAATTTCTGTGTATTTTCCAAAGTATCTTTTAATACATTAGGAAGTTCGAAGAAATGTTTAATTTGAAATCGTAATGGCATTAGTACACCCTTACTGTGTTGCTCTGTTAACGAAATTGCATGGTGATGAACTACGGGCGCAATTCTATTATCAATGTCGAATTCTTGTGGGTCTTCAAAGCACTTTCTCATTTTGAGTTCCTTTAAAAATTTGTAAAATGTTTTACATTTTGAAAAGGGATCTCTTAAAAACGAAACTAAGTTTCTGAGTTGGACTTTTTCTTGTTCTGCAAAATCGAATATAATATTTTCTAAAAAGTGTGCTATTGGCAAAAGCAAATCATTTGTTATATCATCAATTAGTCGTTCTGCATCAGATCGAGCGAAATTTGATTGACTGTGCAATTTACTCAAAAATAGTAGCGCAATATTTTCGAACTCAGCATGAGAAAATTCGTATATTTCTTGACGTTCTTGATTACATTGCCGTTGGTTTAATTGTGGTGGAAAATTATTATTTTCGGATTCACTAAGACTCTGAACATTTGGAATTATATTAGAAATGCATGAATTCGCTTTCTTAAAGTGGCTTTTAAAAGTTCGCAAGCACTGATAATAATGACAGCAATGTGACAGTAAAAAGTACTAGATGATGTTAAATTGTGAAAATTTTTTAGATGATTTACGAGTATATCAACATCTTCAAAATTGTTGTTGCATACAAAACACAAAACCATTTTAAACAAAAAAAATAATAACTATTACATATATAATATTTAATAATAATTATTGAATATTGAAGGTGTTAAGATTTATGTGACTACGTATCTATACTTAATAAATTAAATTAAGTCCCTCAGCAAACAAAGGACATTTGGAGAAGTTTTATCTTCAGTCAATTCAATGGAATAAAAATATCTTTGGACAAACGTCCAAAACTCAATGCTATCCTGTGGATATTTTAAATGTAATACATGGAAAGTCTTAAAACATATGTCTAAAGCGCTTAAAAATGAAGGAAGCTCATACTTAATGTCGTCATAGTAAACATAAAATTTGCAATTACTTAAATCACTGCCAATTGCGATAATTAGTGGTTGCAATGTCTCACCGCGTGCATAGAGTGATTTTTTCAGATTATCCAATTTATTTTCGACATCGTTCACAGTACTAACTTGTAGTAAAAACGAGAGCTGAGAATCTTTGATAGTACTTCTAAAAAATCGTTTTGTCACCTGCCTTCCGCTTTATATTAGGTCGTAGTACAACGTGCAGTAACAATGCTATAAGTTGATCTGAACCTTTAATAAAAGTATATTTATTATAAAAATCATTTAATCTTATTATTACCAATGTTAACAAACCTTTATCAATCTCATTAACTTTTTTCAAGTGCTGAAGATTTTGAATATCTTTACCCTCTTATTCAAAATTGGTATAATTTTTGTTCTAAAACATTGCCATTTCTCTGTTAGCTGTGAGCAATTCTGATGTAGAGCATTGAAGTCAATATCAATCTGCAATAAAGGAAAGCATTATTAAATTTTGAGTTTTAAATTCTGTAGCGACCATTTTTACAGCCAACCGACTAAAGAATAATATTGTGAAGGTTGGAGCTAGCTCAAACATTTTTCTAAGTTTTCCGTTTTTTTTTGAAAGAGAAATGCAAAATGTATATATTTATTTTTTTGTATTTTATGGAAGAAATTGATCAACACCCTCTAAGCAAAAAAAGGAAAATTCAGGGAAATTTTTGAGCTACTTCCAACTTGCATATCTATTATTATATGAAAGTTGATTGGGTTTCACAGCAGTGGTTCGGTTCAAAACCCGATTCAGAACCGGTTTGCAGCCGTGCCTTTAAATATTGGGTCATATGATTAAAAAAGGTTTTTGTTTTTTCTCAAATTTTCACAAATTTGACATCAATTTGTATAAAGAAACTTTCAAAATTTGAGAAAAGGTTTTGAAAAAGCAATTGCTTTTTTTATTAATATGACGCATTACTTTCATATATGATAGTATTTCAAGAGGAAGTTTTTGTATTTATTGGGTCATTTAATAAAAAATAAAACGCTTTTTGAAATATTTTCTCAAATTTTGAAAGTTTTTTCATACAAATTGATGTCAAATTTGAGAAAAATCATTTTTTTTTATTAATATGACCCATTTGATTGTAAATTCAAACTAGTTAACCAATTCTGACAAGTTTAAACGTAAAACTAAGAAATCCATTTACCAGATTGTATCCACATGAATGGGAAAAAAGTTTCCAGGCCCGTAAAGTTTTCGCTGATGTGCTACCACTTGAGTTCAAAATTTCTTGTCGTCTGATTTTGAAGGTTTTTTTCCAATTTGCTTCAACTGTGCTCCACGGCGAATCAAAAAGTTTGAGCCAGTCATAGGCAGCTGCATAAAAAAATATGAAATAATTACAAAACAAAAGCTATTGTGGTGGCGTTACATTTTTCATCCTCGAAAGTAAATGTATATTCTTCTGTCGGTGATGCCTCAGGAGTTGAACTTTCTGGGTCCACTAATTCACCGGATTTCCTCAATCTCTTCAATGTGTTGTAATATTTATCGTACAAGCGGCCTGCTGGTCTCAAGGTAATAGGATCTTTGTGGTAGTAAATCGACTGAAAATAGGTGAAAATTTAGAAAATAGTTTTGTAATGAATAAATAATTTACCTTGTCATCTTTAAACCTGTTTGCAATATCTTGCGCAATAGATTGGAATGTATTTCGGCATATTTTGATTTTTCTTTTAATAAACCACGACACAGTGGCATCAATTAAGATCTTCCTCCCAGCGTCATCTAGTTTGTCCAGTCGCAGAAAATACTCGCCAGTTGGATGGGCACTGAACACTTGCTGCAAATCCTTAAAAATTGTAGGTTTTTAAAACTTGTTTAATGTTTTGTTGGGTTTGTGAGGTGCCTCATATATAAACTTACGAAGTCATGTGAAGATGAACTGGATGTTTGTGAGCATGAAGGAGATTCGATGCCATTGTTGATCCGCTGTCGCCACTGCTGCACAAAGTCAACAAAACCAGAATTGGCGGACGCTGTATCGCACGTCGACACGCTACCATACCCCTGAAGGAATTTTGCAACAAAAAAGATTCTTCATGAAATGATCACAGAGGGATTCACAATACTTACGTTGGTTTTCCTCCAAGTTATGAGTTGATGGCGGAATTCCGCTCTAGCACCAATGGTGTCGTTTTTAAACAAATCAGCAAGGTCAGACTCCGTCAGATATTGCAAATTTTTCAAGGTTATTGCTTGCGCTGGAATTTCACTAAATTAACTAAAAACTACAACAATGACAATGTATTTGCACCTTACCTTTAAATTCAGCGATTTTATGTGAAAATCCCCACTCCAAAATTAATTTACAAAATTCCGTGTCTTCTGGATCAGGATTATCCATATCATCCGCCTCCACAGCACGCAAAATATTTAGCGAAAACAATTCACTATTGTTAAGATTCATCAACACTTAATTTTAATATATTAATTAATTTAATTTCACTTCACTGCACCTACGCAAATAACAACGTCCATGAAAAGTTTGCAAATGAATATGAAAGAAGAAAAGAAGAAGCAAAGCATCAAAAGTGCCGTTATTCTTATCGCATAAACTCTCTTTTCGGTTAGATTAACAATCAAAATAGTAGAGCTACAATTTTATTCGGTTAGTTTTACTATTTCTGTGGTTAAAAATAGTAACTTTACCATTTTGCAGGTTGGCCATACCAATTTTTTGTGGTTAAATTTATGTGCTACAATTCTAACGATTAGTTTAACTATATTTGTGGTTATTCTCATCATGAAGAGGGAAGAAAGAGAGAAGAGAATTACGTGAAGACTATCTTTTCAGTTAGATTAACAATCAAGATAGTAGAGTTACAATTTTATCCGGTTAGTTTTACTACTTTTGTGGTTAAGAATAGTAACTTTACCATTTTGCAGGTTGGCCATACCATTTTTTGTAGTTAAATTTATGTTCTACAATTCTAACGATTAGTTTAACTATTTTTGCGGTTAAAAATTTCCAAATTCATATAACAATTTTTCGTCGATTATATTAACAACCTGAATTGTACTTGTTGTTTGTGTTTTCAATGTAAAATAGAAAAATGGTTTATTTACAATCTTTTTCGGTTAGATTAACCTATCTTTTTTCTTTCTGTGTAGTATTCGAGAGAAAGATCCTGCGAAAGATCTACGAACTAGTTACAATAACATTGACAAATACATAGTTTAGGAAGAGCCTGCCTGAAACTATACAAAAAAGCAAATAAGCAAATGGATGTATAGAATTGACAACAACAACCACG